TTTGCAGGTGTTCTGTAGTACTGTAACCCTTCCTAAACCCAGCCTGCTCTTTTGGCTGGTATTAGTCTAACTTTGGTGTGAGACGGTTGGTTATTATTTTCGAGAACAATTTATATATTTGGGGTAGCAGGCTGATCGGTCTGTAATTTTCTAGGTTCTCGGTGTCTCCCTTTTTGTGAATGATTGTCACGAGGGCGATTGTGGTATGTCCTCCTTTTCCAGGCATTTGTTGAACAGCATTTCTAGTTAGTCCTCTAGTATATCTCCGCCTTGCTTTAACATCTCCGTTAATATGCCATCTTCGCCTGCTGCTTTCCCGTTTTTCATATGGTGTAATGCTAGTCTGATTTCGTCTTTTGTAATCTCAGGTATGTCTTCAGAGTTGACGTTCATGACTTTCACTTCCTGGTGTTGTTCGGATATGTCGCTAGTTACTTTCGTCTCGTATAGGTCTGTATAGAATTCTTGTACCGTTCTTATAATTTCGTGTCTTCCCTCGATTCTTTGTCCTGTTTTGTCTCTGATTCTGACAATTTCTTTCTTTGTGGTCGTCGTTAGTCTTCTGAACACTTTCGTCCCTTTGTGTTGTTCCAGTACTTTCTGCGCGATTTTCTCACTGTGTTTTCTGATGTCCTCCTTTGCCATCTTTCTGGCGATTTTATTTGTTTCGGCGTATTCTGCTGATGTTCTTTTGTTATTTGTTATAAGTTGTCGTCTTTTATCTAGCATGTTTAGTGTTTGCGCACTTAGTTTATTTTGCTTCTTAGTTTTTGTTTCTGTGTACGCTTCTGCTGCTTGGTTTAGGGTTGTAGTGATCGTTTTGTTTGCTTCGTTTATGTCATGGGTACTAGGTCTCTGCTCTTTGACTCTGTTTCCCAGGTATATTTAGAATTTATTGGGGTCGTGTTGGAGTTTCTCTCTGTCAATCTGTTTGTGTATCGACTTTTTGATTTTTCTGCAACGCTCTAGTTTTTGGTTTATGCTTATTCTTGCCCTCACCAGACGATGGTCACTTCCAGTATTAAATCTGTTCAATACCTCGACGTTTTGTACTATTTGGATGTTCTTCGTTAGAATATAGCCGATTTGGTTGAAAGTTCTCTCGTCTGGGCTTGCCCAGGTCCATTTGCGGTTGCGTTTTTTTTTTAAAAAAGGTGTTGGCATTGTAGAGATGTTCTTCTTCTAGAAAGTCAGCCATCATTGAGCCTCTGGGATTTCTCTTGCCTAGCCCGTGTTTGCCTACATATTTTTCCTCTGGGTCTGCTTGGCCTCCAATCTTGCAGTTGTAGGCGCCGATCACTAAAACTTGTGATGTTTTATTGCTGCGCATTCCTTCCGAGATATCCTCATAGAATTTGCTGACGTCTTCGTCATCGGCGGTGCTTGTGGGAGCAAATGCCTGAATTATCTTGAGTGTTTCCAGTTTGTTTATTTGTAACGTTATGTATATCACTCATTCGGATATAGCTTTGAGCATTTTTACGTTGTCTATTAGTCTCCTGTGTATCAGTATGCCTACGCCACCAAGACTGGAGTTTTCGTGTCCTTTGTAGTAGAGCTTATGACCTGATTTGAGCTTGGTGTAGCCTTCGCCTCTTTTCCTTGTCTCACTTATGGCAATCACGTCCAATTTGATTTTCTCTAGTTCCGCTTCCAGTTTTTCAGTTCTGTCTTCCGTCGCGATTGATCTAATATTGTACGTAGCAAAGTTCATCTTTGTGTGGCAGCCTGATCTCTCCCAGTTATTCTTCGCACCCTCCGCCATTCCATTCTGGCTACAGCTGCCGTTGTAGGGAACTTTCCGGCTGCTGGGGACTGAGGGCCTTTGGTTTTTGTTCCTACTCATTTAATATAAGGGGGGGTTTTTGGCATTTAAAACACCACGCTTGCCAAGCGGGTTGGTGAGTTAGGTTTCAGCCGCCCATTTTGGCTACAGACGCTGTTGACGGCCGCCCACTCTGGATCAGACACTGTCGGTATTCACCATATCTGGCTATCCTCAACTTAGTTTTGCCTGCAGGTCGATGCAGTTGCCCGGGGTATGGCACGTGGAGCCATAAGTGAGGATTGGGCGTCCTGTGAGGACCAGTCATCGCCGACCACTCACTGACAATGTATTTGAGTGCGACCGTCCTTGACGAAAGGTATTACCTCTACAGCACAACCCCATACAACCTCCGCTGTTGATAGTCGTTGCTTTCTATTCGTATACCTTTTTGGTTATTTTCCTTTGTGAGGAAAATTCACTGTAACCGGTTTCCTGTTGTTCTTATCTGGATAAGAATAGAAATTATCGGTCGAACTGAAACTAATATACCATCCCGCTTATTTTGGGATTTCTATACTGTCTGGAACAATTCATTCCTGCCAGACAATCACATTTGGAACTGCTGGATATAGTCAGTAGAATTGCTAGTACTTACTTAACTGTGCGGATTGCTAGTGTAAAAGACTGGACTGCTACCCATAAGGTTAGCGCTTTCCATTTTTATATAATATATCTTTCAAGCTACTAGTATTACTTAAAAGCACTGTAATACATTTATTTAGCTGGCCTGTGTACTATTGACACACTAGGTTTTACTAGTTTTAATTATTTTACTTTTATATGTTGCTAAATAAGGCCGTTACGAATTGTACACCAACTATATGCATATACGCCGTTCTTTTCTAATCCTGGTGAGTCTGTAAAGTAGTTTGAAGGGTCTCTTAGAGACCTTTCACCCACATTGAATTCAGGTACTATATTTGATTTTTATTGGGTACCGTACCGTACTTATTGTTGAAAATTAATTTTTATACTATAGGTTGCTACAAATTTGACTTATTTAATTGAAGCCGCTACCTACGATATATTTTGAAGTTAGAGTTTTCTTCATTGATATTTTTCTTAAGGTTCTTTCCCGTTTTATTGGTTATCACGGTTAACTGACTGTAGGGGTTAAAACGGGTGGCGCTATTATTAAGTTTCTCTAAGCTATTTACCCTCGACCACTCTCCACTGGCATAGCTAGCTTGGAAAAGTCTTTGTACCCTAAACAGGTAATTGTTGTGAACCGTTTAGTAAAGGTAAACACCACTAACTTTATTTTAGTATATTTTTTGTCTTTGTCACCCATCTTGCAACTTTAAGCCAACGAGCCGGTTAAACAAACAACCATGCCCTAACCGGGATTCCAACCCAGTACCCGGAGCATGCAAAGCAGATACACTAACCACTACACTGCCTATGTCAGCTAGGTTCACCTTGCTGTCGATACCCTTCCACCATACTATCGCTCCGTAGCTTATAATGGGTCTCACTATCGCAGTGTACCTACATACAATGGATGATGTGCGGTTGCAGTCCCTATATTATTCCGAAAAGTAAGTTTTATGCAGGTGTATATTGCATTCGGGCCTCTTTTCATTCTTTCTTCCGTGTTACTCGTCCACGAGAGTTTGCAGTCAAGAACGATCCCTCCCGATCTGTCTTGCCCACCTGGAGAGTTCCTCCAATGCTGATTCCATGATTTCACTGATGGTTGATAAGCTGAAGCCCCTCACCAGTACTACTTGTTGGTGAACTCGATTCAAAATTTGAATCTTACTACATGCGATTAAAATCTGCAAAAATTTACATCAAACCCTTAACGTGCTGAGATCTTGAACCAAAAAATAATTAAATAATTTTTGGAACTTCAAAAATTCGTAGTTCCATCAATATTGATGGACTTAGTGCTGACAAGGTGCAACTGAAGTTGATTAACTCATATTTACTTTCAGAATCTTTCAGTAACTGTATAAGTGCATGGGAACTATTTTCTGAAATGTATGTGCATCATATGGGAGGTTTATTTCCTAGATAAATAAAAACCGTTACAATATATTCCAATTTTCTCTATATTCAAAATCATCAAATATTTCCAGTACCCTATTTCAGTCCCATTATCGAACAGCTAAAAAATTATGACTAGTATTAGAAATTCCCAGAACACCATCACAATAAATAATGTCGAAAAACGTTTCCAATACCATTTTCTCTGTTTCGTGAAAACAATATTTCTTTTGTGTTACTGTAGAAAAATAGGAAGGTTTCCCAGTTTTATATAAGTTTTTCTTTATTGGCAGAATCGTTTCATTCAAACATTTTTCAATATAACAAGAGCCGCAACAAGATTGATGGAAAAACGAACGAGAAAAGTCAAGATAGGTGTCGGTTTGCGATGGAAAACTGTCGACATATTGTGAGGGTTTTTTTTTTATCAAAATACAATGAGAAAAATCGCATTTTTAAAGCACAAATGTTGCAGTGTGCATTATTCCACAGATGACGTATAAATGAAAAGGATTTCGATTGAAAAATAATATCGATACTTCAAATAAAACGTTATTTGCTGGAGGACGCAACATTATATAGGAGAAATATATTGAGAGAACCGGAAATCCTCACTGAATACTGATTTTCGTTATGATGATTGAGAGAGAACGTATAATACTGGAAGCCAGGGTATCGTGGTATTATTGAAAATAATTTTTGGATGAGATGTGAATTAAAAAATAAACAAAAGAGCAACTCGAGCTACTAATTATCAATCATTCTCATATTATATGGCATAAGTATTTGAGCCATTGTAAAGTACAAGGTATAATTTGTCGAAAAAATTAAAAGGACAAATAAAAATGAGACATCCATTTGATTGTTTGCTTTCCATCCGGTTGCGAGCACACAAAGTGCAATTTCGTGGGCGAGTTCAACGATTTCGCTTTACTAAATGAATATTTCAGGAAATTTGGTCACGTCGACGTTCCTCGACACTATAATGCACAGGCCATATTTAAATATTCACAAAGCATTGTCCGTTCTCACAGTCACAATTTAATCTAATTTTCCCCGGGTCGCTTGGACACTTGCTTGATCCAAGCCAAAAGGTGCAAGTGTAGCGTCCTTGTTATTGTTTCGTTTTAATGGGATCTGAAGTAGAGATAGTCGTTTGGGGTAAGGCAAGAACGATTCATCATTTTTTGGAGCATATTATATACAAAACTTTATTAAAATATTAAAAAACTATAACACAAATCTAAGCTGCAATTTTCTATCGTTTACCAGATTTTCCTACAATATAAATCCCTTCGGGTAATTCGTTTTCCTGTTCGAAAGTTTGACGATAAGAGTCATTAGGATCTTTTGAATCTATTGTGTTAATCACCTGAAACATATATTTTTATAACAATTCACTAATTTCGATGAATACTTACATTTTTATGTCCAGGCGGCGCCACAAGATTAGGATTATACAATCCATGATCACCAGGGTGTATAACTTGAGCTTGAACCGTAGGCGGTACTGGAGTAGATGTATAACGAATTACAGGACTAGCTGGAGTAGTGGAAACGAAATTGCCTGCTGCATGATCCCGAGGATTATTGGTGTAGATTTGAACCTGATTTGGATAATATTGAGCCTATAAGAAACAAATTATGAGTACAAAATTCAATTAATATTACCAAATTAACTTCTACCTGTTGATTATCATTAATCAAATATACTGGACTATGCGTTTGAGATCTAGGAATATCGACGTAGTTGCCAGGAGTTTGAGTAGGTCCATTTTGTTCCAACACTACTATATTAGAGTCTCTCAATGGACTCACCAATTGCTGTATTGAAAAAATATATAATTTTTCAAGAATGTCTAGGGGCAAATATTAACATACAAAAAAGGTTCACCGATGGAATTCCCCCGAGCTTCGAACGAAAAAAAAAAGGTAATTTTACGCCAAATAAAATTTGATTTTGTTACTTGTTATATTTCAAAAGGGCTCCGTGTTGGTCGGAACACGGAACAAAAATAAATAGCTAGAGCACTAGGAAAAAATGTAGATCCAGCTTTTTTTATTGTAATTTGAGCAATTGAACTGACCATCAAAAGCAATCAAACTGACACCAACGAAAGTTTCATTTTTAACATCAAAACGATTTCAGTTGTAATACAAAACAAACACATTATTCATTTGGCCTTTTATCTCTCATTCCCCCATCAAATTTTCTTATTCAGGTTTCATTATAGTCAAAATCCTTGAAATTTAAGAGCCTGAAATCAAATTTTATTTAGCGTTAAATTACCTGTTTTTCTGAGCCAGTGTTACTGCTTTGCTTATAATTTTAGTGGGGCAACTTTCCGGTTGGCCGTCGAGTATTTTCATCCCCGAATCAAAAAGGGGATTGCTGTCCAAGATAATTGAAGTTGGTTTGTGAGCGTTAAAATTTGTACTCCAACGAAACAAAACAACCGTCATTTACAATTTACAGTTCATATGTACCAGACCAAATATTGTTGACTTGTTTAGAAAAAAAAAAAAACATTTTACAATTTTACTGAGTCAGCTTTTCCTCTTTCACTGTCCTGGCTATAAAGACAGTGCTTAAACTTTATTTACTGTAAAATTACCTGTTTTTTTTTTTCCGTATTTTATTTTATCTCTTTTTCGGTAAGTCGGTTTAAATAATGCCTTTGTTTTGAAGTCGTTTAATTTTGGGGATTGGATAAACTAAAATTAAAAATAAACCTACCTGTTCTTGTTCTCCAACAGCAATATATTCATAATTATTCACATGATTATCTCTAGATGATTGCCTCACAGGTGCTTGCTCAGATACAACTTTTTGAGGTATATATTCTTGTTGTTGGTACGTGGCTTCAGGATCTACTTCATATTTGACGTCTGCTTTATAACTTGAAAAAGAAATATATGTCATGTCCTCATAAATTGTAATTAAACACTAGTAAAATCCTTACCCATTTTTGTCTGCCTTATAAGATACTATTTGCAGTCTTCCATCAGGAAGTTTGACTCTGTATTCTCCATTAGTGGCTTTGGAGCTTCTGATTTGTTGATGTGAAAAATCGTCACCGGTAGCTTTATCGAGTACTTTATAAGAAAAAGCATAGTTTTTCTTTTTGAGTGCCTGCAAGAAAAATTAATCCCTTACTATCAAGAAATAGGTAACGAGCCGTTCTACTTGGTCCCTTGAAAAATTTATGAACAACCTTTTTTCTTTGTTGCCTCAGCTCCGTCTCTCGCAAATGATGTCTCGTTAGGTCAATGATAAAACATGGACTGGCTGCTTTTACGGCCGAAAATGTCGATAAATTTTATATTGACTCAATTAACTTTCTTTGTTCCAATTGACCATATCTGAATTATTATTTTTTTGTTTATTTGAGCCTTCATTAGTGTATAAATTGAACAACTGGACGTAATTTTTAAAGTTTGTATCTCTTGTCCTATATCGGCTTGTATAAACGCTCGCAAAAACTTTGTAATAAAATATTTAAAACTAACCTTTTTTTCAGACCTAAATAGTGTTAGCTTAAAGAAGGGACAGAGTTAAGTACTAAATTTTTACCGCAAATAAACGTAAATTGTATATCTCAGCCTCTATAGCAAAAGGTTGACCCTAGAAGAACCCTTATCAAAATTTAAAAAACGTCTGTCTGCTTTCATTTAATATGTAAATTGGCTCCGCCGGTTGCATTATCTCTGTTTCTTAGCTAGATGTTTTGTTTACTTTTATGTCTTTATTTAAAAAGAAGCATGAATTTATTATGAGGGAACATTCCAAAAACCAAGAAACCTGGAATAATAATGTAATTTTTCTGCTACTAGACTTTAGGCCGTAATAAAACATAGAGTTTTGGCAAATATTTGTGTAATTTAGAATACGGCATGCAGTAAAAATTATTTCAATATTTGAATATTCATCATTCCTACACTACTATAATGCAACATTGCGCTGTAGCAATTCTATATTCTGTTAGTCTATGTAATTGAAATGTAAAATAAATATACAGTTTGATAGGTTCATTTGAAACTTGTATGGTAACGTTAGTGCCTAAAATTATTAGTCCGAAATTATTATTTAGTCAATATGAGTATTCCGATATTGTGTTTATAATATTACCTTCAATTAAGCTGATGAAAATTTGTATATACTACATACAATATTTGGTTTAGTTTGGTTGACATTTTTAACAAGTATTGAGTTCGTTTTAACTTTAGAATTTAATTTCAAAAACTGTTGAAAGTGCATTGCAGGTATTGGAAAAATTTATACTATGCGGCAAAGTGAAAATCTTATCGAGTTTAAATTTCTTGGCTAGATGAAAAAATATTTTTGAAAAGCGCCGTTTCTAAGGTACCTATTTTAATATAAGTCCTTTGTACTTTCTCCATTATTATCTGATTTAAAATCAATTTGGTTATTTTGAATTCGGGCATCTATTGAATAAAATTTCTTCTCCAATAAAATCGTTATAATATTGAATGAATGAATAAATTAATTGTTACACTGCGACCTGCAAGATCTATTGTGTCACCCTCTTCTGGGTGCTTCAGTTGATAGGAAACTCAAAGCACCTCATGCAGCTTTAAAGTAGGCTGGACGGTTTTATGAAGGAATTTCTTTTTTTCCAACGGTATAGCATCCGAAGCAGGCCATTCGTATGTTCATGATCGCCTCGCCCTTCGTTAGGTGTTCTAAAGTTTCCTTCCCTTCCTCACAGTCCACAGAACCGGCAGCTGTCCTCGTTTTCGATTTTAATTCTCTCAAGGAGCTCCCTAGGCCGAGAGCGGCCTGAAAGCGATCCAATGAGAATGCGAAGATTGTTTTTATTTACTGATAATAAGGTCTTTTGATCTTACTTGGTGAGGGGCCCGAGAAACATCTTTGACTGCCTTAACCCTGGAAGTTGTTTGCCAGAGGCTGATCCATTTGGTCCGTCTTCCTTTCTACACGCCCCCTTATATGTGTTTGACCCTATGCCACAGAAATGCTCTGGTCCTGAAAGCGGACTTTGTGCTACCAATTGGTCCGCTTTCACATTGCCTTCGATTCCTGCATACGCCGGTATCGTATTGGTATATTGTACCATTATTCAGAGCATATGTACTCTCATTCGTAGTACACTATATGGCTTTATATCACTCGTAATTTCAAAATACAATGTATACCGCGATTCAGACCACGCATCTGCTTTACCGGTCTGAAACGCAGTATGTAATAGGTTTAAATTATTTATGTTTCTGTTCATGATCAGGGGAATATCGATATAGAAGTTCATCCATCATTACATAGCCTCTATCACTCCATCTTCGAATTTCGACAACACAAGTCCCTGGAGTTTCAAAACATTGCTATGTCAGGATCAGACAATTGTTTTTCTCGTATTTCCTTGAGATCATCGGTGGGCAAGTTAACAGTTACAAAGCATATTTCGCAAAAATCAGCGTGGCCACTATCTTGACAAATTGGGCGAGATAATGTATCTGCTAAAATATTTTGTTTTCCTGGAACGTACTCAATTTGTAGATCGTATGGTTGTAATGACAGCGCCCATCTAGCAAGTCTACCTGATGGGGATTTCAACGACATTAGCCAATTTAGAGGTTGGTGGTCACTCTTTACAATGACTGCAGAGGATTCAATATATCCCCGGAATTTTGAAAAGTTGCTGCCTTGTAGCTGGATGTTGGATCATTAAAGGCCCAAGTACTCCAGCTCCTGTCCCTTGTTCAGTTCTTGACCCATCAATATACCATTTTATGGTATTCTGCTCCATTGTTAGAATGGATGTGGTGTGTCGTTTCCATTCTTCTCTGCTTCTTATCACTACTGTGAAGGATTTCTCAAAATTATATGTTTTGATCATATCATCTCACCAGTGCCCTTATTCTCGTAACAGGGGAGCAGCGTTCTCATGAGAACAAAGGTTCTGTCTCAGTCGCTCATATTTATACTTCCATAACACCAGAAGAATCCAAGGCTAGGTTATAACAACCAGAACATGTCTCTCAGACAGTCAGGCCGCTCTAAAAGCTCTGAACTCACATCGATTCACTTCGAAAATAACGACGGAATGCCTGCACGACCGAAAAGCTCTGTTATCAAGAAATAACAGGAAAGAGCTCCTGAGGGTTCCTGGGCATTCGGGGATAGAAGGTAACGGAAACGGTGACGAACTGGCCAGAGCGGGAGCAACTGCACCCTACACAAGACCAGAACCCGTATTTGGGATATCGAAGCAGGTTATAAAGACAGCCATTGAAAGGTAGTCAACCCATCGACACCTCGACTATTGGCGGTCCACACCTTGGAGCAAGATCTTCGAAGGGAATAATTGGAAACCCCTCAAAGATGCTAGCAGCTGAAGTACTGTCATACTAACGCGTAATCAGATCAGATAGGTGATATCAAAGGGACGGAAGTGGCTTTAACAAAAGAGGGGGTGGCACAATAAGCCTTAAAGCTGCAGTGCCAATCGGGACACGAGCTAGCCTGACCGCCTTAAACCAACCAACCAAACAACTTGTGAAGCTCAAGGAGCGGAGTAAGCTTGGTTATCACCTCGTCCAGCGGGTAGAAAGTAGGTGCGTTGGAAAATAAGGAAGTTATGCTGGAAGCCCTCCTTGATATAGAGGAAGCGTTTGACAATACTTCCTTTGAGGCAATCATGAGAGCTCTACGCCGACGAGGTATTGATGATACATGCTGCAGATGGATAGACTACATGCTTCGAGGTAGAGTCATCCACTCCACACTCCCAGATAAAACAGTAACGGCTTAGGTTAGAAAGGGATGTCCGCATGGCGGAGTGTTATCACCCCTGCTGTGGAATCTGATGATGGACGAGCTACTTAAGAGCAAGAACTATGGGATATGCAGATGATTTGGTCATAATATTCCAGGGAAAATTTAACTATACAGTTAGAGATCACATGCAGCAGGCTCTAACAATATTCTCTAGGTGGACATAGACTGTAGGAATGAAAGTTAGTGCCACCAAATCGACAATCGCCCCTTTTACCAAAAAAGGGAAAATGAAGGGACTTGGGCCTCTTTACCTTCAGAGGAACCCTATTACGATGTCGGACGAAGGTAAATAGGTGCCTTTGGGTAATCATAGACTCAAAATTTACTTGGAACAAACAACTGGACAAAGTAATTAAAAGTTCCGAACTGGCACTTTTACAAGCCAGGAGAACTTTCGGCCAAACATGGGGGCTGCGGCCGCGATAAGCTATGCATCTTTGTTATGGTGGACAAAGACTCAACAAGACAGGGCCAGAATGAGACTTGGCAGGGTGCAAAGACTTGCCTGTCTGGGCATTACAGGATGCATGAAAAGCACACCAACAGCCAACAGCAGCTATGGAAGTTCTGTTAGACCTACCTCCTCAACACATTGTTATTCAGGCGGAAGCCAGGACGGGCCTCCACAGACAACGGAACAACCTAAGCAAACTCGGACGGGTTAAAAGGTTTTGTTTGGTTGTGTCGCACTAACTTGAACTAATCTGTAATATTTCAGATTGTGACAGATAAACCATATAAAACGCTCACAAACGAACGCCCCAAACCCCAAAGCAGAAAGTGCTGCCCGAACAACACAAACAAACCTGGACTGAGAAGGGCACAGGCGCAGGAATCTACAGAGAAGAAGGAAGATGCGAGACCTTCGTCTCTCCAAGGTCACTGTCTGTTTTCCAGACAGAGATATATGCAATACTACAATTCGCAAGAATCAACAATATGAGGGCCTACAAAGACAGGAGACTCACTTCACTCACAGACAGTCAGACAGCACTGGGGGCCTTAAAGAACCCTAAGGCAAACTCTGCACTGGTAATAGAATAATACCAAGAAGAACTCAACAACTTGGCGGACCAAAATCACGTCACATTGATGTGGGTGCCAGAACATCGAAGTATCCCGGGCAAGGAAAAGGCTGATGAAAATGCACGCAGGGGGTCATCGACAGAATACCTTGGTCCCGAACCAGCTCTCGGAGTGCCCAAAATCACAGTAAGAAAGTAGCTGAAGGAATGGATCAAAGCAAAACATAGTGGAAGCAAATACCCAAGCATGCACATGGGAAAATCTTCATACGTGAGACATGCAGCAAAAGA